CTAAATCTATTTTTCAAAACTAATATTACAACAAATTAACATATCTATCACTTATAATTTTAAAATCGATTAAAATTTGTAAAATAAAGTAAGGAGATTTCGAAATTGTGGCTGTTGCTTAATATTTTATATATTACCACAACTATTTTATTATTTATTATTAATTTTTACTCCACTTTTCTATTCTGTGATTTTTTGAAATATTAATTTATCTTTAAACAAAAGCTTTTTTTTGTGATGTTTTAAACTTATTTTATCAAAATTTAATTTCTTTGAATTAAATTCTTTAATTTATACAACCCCCTTCAAATAAACTAATTTGTAATCTTTATTATTTGAATTTCCACCATAATTGTAACTTAGTGTCCATATAAAACTAAAATTAACTTAAATATTATTCCTCTTCAACTATATATAATCGGCTAAAATTAATTAACACAATTTCTAAGTATTAATGATAAGAATAACTGAAAAAAATAATATTTGAGTATTAATAGCTGCGGGTAATGTTTTTTACTATTTTGAGCTAAGGAAAAGTCAAATATTTAAAATATTTTTGAGTTTAGAAAAGTACTATCATAACATTTTTATCAATTTTATAAAAGAGAAGTTAAAAATTTTAATGAGCTTATATTCAAAGATTAATGATTATTATAATTATTATTATAATAAATTAGTATTATATAGTAAAGGAATAATATTGGGTAAACTCTTGAAAATACTAAAAGTGATAAAGTTTTAGTGTATTATAAAAATAACTAGTAATTGAGAGCTAACTCTATTCATAAAAAATAGAAAATTTGAATTTGTATTTTAGAATCTCCAATAAAAAAATTATAAAATAATTATATGATTCTAAATAAAAATATCAGGAACTATTTAATTATTGGTTTAAAATCTGAATAAAGTTACTTATTATCCTCTTTCTATTCAATATTTCATAAATTTTATAATTTAGTTAAATAGTAATTATATGTGGTTATCTAAATAATAGTAATACAACAGCAATAATAAAAAACTTGGTTAATAAAGAAAATTAAAAAAATCTCTTTTTTTAAAGTAATTAATTTAACCTGCGTTCTACTAGTTCTGGTTCTAATTTAGTGAAAAGACCTTAATATTGTTGATTACAATTAGTTTTTGCTCTTTTATGAGTAATTTTTTGAAATGCTGATAATTGTACACTTCTACTTCTATGATGACGATATTCTTTTTTTTAAAAGATTGCTGCATCTTTGGAATGTTAAAAAGATTTAAATCTAAGGAGTTAAATTATTAAGTCTTTTTTATTTTGAAACAATATACTCAAATTAACTGATTCTTCAAAAAACATACTTTTTGATAAGTGTCTCAAGAATAATTTGACTTACATCAGTATTCAACTTTCTCAGATCTAGATGATCGATCTTCTTGCTGATTATCTAAAGTGCGATGAGTTTGGTAATCTCTATTATTGATTAGATTAGAGCATAGAATATGATGATAATTCAAAAGATTTAGAATAACAGCTTTAAACATTTCTTTAGTCTGAAAATTTCAATGGTAGTATATTAACTTTTATTTTATTTAGTCTCATTATATTAAAATAACATTAATTTTAGACATCATTTAAAAGTTTTTATTTAATTCAAGAATGCTCTTTTGGAATTGATATGAAATATCAATAAAAATTATCTTTAGTATTATTTTTAATTAATTATATAGGTTTTATCATTCATGGAAAATCAGTAGAAGAGTAAATGATGAATTTTTAAGAGAATCATTTCAAATCATAGTATTACTAAGTAGATTGATTGAATTAGATAGAAAAAATGATAAATAATGGTTATTTTAAGATACAAGATTATAAGAAATTCCTGAACTTTCTAGATATAAAGATCTATATGAAAGCAAAATGAAAAAAAGGATAGAAGAATAATTGCATTTTTTTGTAAACATGTTATGGAAAAAAAGAATGTTGAAATATCTATGAAATGAGTTAATATATAAATATATTAAATATGTAATGTAAAATAAGGACATCATCACTACCAGATGCTAAAATATTTCCATCAGGAGAGAAACAGACTGAGTTTACACTATCAGTATGACCATCTAATTTATTTAATTATCCATTTATTTTAATTTTTTTCCATTTGCAATTAAATAGTTGAGCTCCATTTAAATTTATACCATTTATATCCACAGTGTCAAATTCTGATCTATTAATGTTGCATCTTACAAACATTCCCCCAATTAAAGAAGTATCCTTTATTCTTATGTCTTCCCAACTTTAATTACTCAAATCTGCCTTCATCTCCACCAATAGGTGAAATGAATTTGATCCACATACTATGAATTATTTAACAATGGCAGTTAGATGAACTAAAGATTTTAAAAATGATCTGATCATTTTATTTTCTTTTATTTTACTGAT